CAGAACAGGTAAATCAAGTCTTAGACGCATTAGTGTAAGTACAACCATTTGAAACTGTGAAATCTTTTTTGATTCTGACAGAAAAGGCCTAATAGTGTTAAACAATGATAATAAAATGACAAAGCAAGGAAGTCCTGTATAATATTTTACTTTTTTTGTGTCATCCTTAAAAAAATCTGTGTCCAGCTGTTTTTTATTCAGCTCTGACCTGAGCTTCCTGTTCTCCTGTAACAAACGATTTATTTCTTCTCTTCTCTCTTCACACAAGTGACATTCGATTTGTTGCCTTTTTGATGCTAAATCATGTTCCTCGTCAGAGTCTGCAGCCTTGCTGAGCTCCTCTCCTGGGGTTTCCTCCACAGCCTCTCGAACTCGCTCCTCTTCCATTGCCTCAACTACTGTGTTTTGTTTGACCTCTTCTGGTGTTTCTGATGCAATCTCTGTAACTTGCTCCGGTTCTTGTTTTTCTACCATGGTCTTTGCTGCCTGGCCTTCAACTGCGCTGCTGTATCGCCTCTTTANTGAGAAATATAACTTTTGATTAGAGATGTTACAATTTTGACAAAGTAATTACATGTTATCCTCTGTCCGTATTTCAGCCCATAGTCAGACTACACTAACATTGAATTAATCAAGAATCAAAGAAACAGATAGTCACATAAGCTGTCAGGCTCCAGAACATTTTATGTTCATTTTTTTTTTTTTTCATTTAAATGGAGGAACTCAGAGATGTTCTCCCCACTAAAGCACATTAACAGGAACTGAGCTGTTGTTAATGTCTAAGCAGAGTTCAACCTCTGTGGTTGAGTCAGATGTTATTACACTATAAAATGGAGCTGTAAATCATCTATCTCCCCACAGTACTATGTCACACATCACTATTGGTAAGTGACTGTTTCTTTCTTGGACAAGTTGATATTTAGTGTTGTTTATTAAAAAACTGTCAAAAATGAATAATAAAGTACATTGCCTTTACACACAAATCCTTTATTTTGTAATTGTAAAACCACAACTGAATATACATTACTATAAGGGCCAGTATGCTATCTTTGCCTGCTCTCTAGCTGGATCTGTGAAACATGATACAACATGTAACCTTTACTTTGCAGAATCAAGTCATCCAGTTAAAAAAACAACTTTAAGGGAGAACTCAAGAACAAATCAGTGGTCCTGCCAGACTAAGATTCCAAAAGATAAATTACAAGGATTACTGTGAAACATACTCACAGCAATTAACTGTGATTTCATATCTGTGAATAGTGTGAATTAACAATGTAAATTTTATATTATGCTAAATTTGAGCAATTTACTGTGAAAGCAATAAAAATCCAATGAATACATCCATATATCTTCCCCCACTTCAGCCGTCAGTATTGCATTAAGGCTTTATCTAGTAGTCTATGGGTGTAAGGCGGAATACACCCTAGACAGGTTGCCAGACCATCGCAGGGCAACACAGAGACACACAACCATATAAACCCACACATAAAGCACTCTCATCTATGGATAATTTAGAGATACCATTTAACCTTAAAGTCATATCGTTTGGACTGTGAGAGAAAGCCAGAACATGCAAACTCCAGAAAAACCCTGTACCTGGAATCAAACCTAGGACCTTCTTGCTGCAAGGCAGCACTTCTACAAACCCCAACAACAGCAGCCCAATGGCTTTTATAAACACATATTAAAATGCAGATCAAACATTCCTTTCAAAAAACATTCCTCACAAATATTGCATGGGATGAGATTACAGTCTGTTGACCAATCCATGCATTTCATTTGCTATTCTGAGCCACTTTGAAAATAATTTGACAGTATATTTCAGTAATTGTGGATTTAAAGATGTATTTGTCTGCAGGCACAACTTTTTTCATTTTTCTTTTCTTTTCCACAGGGTCATTAATTTTGTACAGCAGCCCAGCCATTTTAGCAACTTAAGGTTCTCCCTCTTTGCACAGTTTGGATGTTATCGGTCTTCCTCATTTCTCCCCCAAATGTACAGTAATGAGGGTTATTGTTGTAAGATTTTATTTTAGGTTTCACCAAATCACAGCACCTGACTCAAAAATGTATAATTTTTGTTTCTGTTTGCATTTGCCAATGGTGACAT